CTCTAAAATAATCACTCATGAATTAATTCTCCCATCTGGTGAAAAAGTCAATAAAACTTATCAATTCACAACTTGGTCTCCACATTAAATTATAAAATATAAATTTTAAGATCTTTTTTTTATTTTATTTATATCAAAGATGTTACTTTTCAAAATCTTCAACAACATAACTCTAAGGTTTAAATAATTATAATTTTATTTTTAATTAAGTTAAAACTTTATCCAATTTAAATTTTTGGTTCTTAAAAGAAATCATAAAATGAAAATTGGTTGAATTTTATCAATGTAATAATTTCCATGTAATCATGTATATGGTATTAGTGGTTCCATCTCGCAATGGTCGTAAAGGTGGTAGCAACTATCATCAAAAGTTGCAGCCGGTATCCTTATATGGTATAGATTTGATTTCTTTTTATTATCTGTTCTAAGAATGGTTGGCGAAATGCTTTGCAGGGCGGGGAATTACTGTGTTAATTTCGTCACATTTGACGATCGAAATTGACAAAATTGACGAAATTGACAAACTGACGAAATGTGACGAAATTGATGAAATTGAAGTTGACCAATTAAACCGACCAAGTTTTCATAACTAATGATCAAAGGTATGGCCAAATATTGATTTTATATATGTCAGTATAGAGTGATGTCACCAAAAAAATGATTTAGATTTGGAACCCTTTATCTTATCATCATGATAGAAAAGAATTGAGAATAATCAATTTATTAAAACCCTAGATTCTCAAAAATGTACTTTGAGCATATGCGTCGATTTTGTTTGAACCTCAAAATTCAGTATGGTATGATCATAACGTTATACCTTATACTAGCAATAATCCATTAGTTTTGAGATAGTGCCGTTGGTTTTACGGGCTATTGAATAGTAAAATAGTTTTTTTTGGGTTAATCATCACTCTACTGACCAGTTCCACACACACAATAAGATAGATATACATGTAAGTTCACTAAGTCGGATGCAACAATCAATCATTTAAAATAAATAAATGACTGACCTATCGAGTTTACATGTGTGTAGGGTTTGAAAGAAGGGCCCAAAAAACAAATCGGCTGATATGGTAATTACATATTACCAGCTATTTTTTCATCACTATCCTTGTCCAAAGTTGATGCATGAAGTTAATATATTGGCTGGAATGTTTTTGCATTATATAAAAACAATCAATATATGTATAAAAATTTTTGGTAATCAGCAAGTATCACAAGCATCTGATTTGATTGGCTAAACCAATTTCGTCAGCCATTCTTTTGGAATTGTCCTGTTTTTCTTATTTTTGTCGTTAATCTAAAATTCTTCATAATAAAAATGAATAAGCAAAAGCTTTAAATTTAAGATTATTGTCACTTATAATAATAATAAAAATCGATTATTAATTTATTAAATTTGATTTTTATAATTTAATTCTTTTTTTTGTTTAAATTGAATTGTCACGTCCGCAGTTTAAAGTCTCCAATTTTACCAGAAAATTTTCATGGGTGAAATTAGGCTTAAACTATGGGCTAGTTCTAAAATAATAAACGTCAATACAGTAAGCCTTGGTTTGGCGGATTTACGTATTTAACGGATAAATTTTCAAAACCAAATTTTCTACAATAATAATTATTTTATCACGCTTAAGCGGATTTAACGGATTTTCATATTAATATTATTATTATTAGTAAAACCTTCAAAACTCCGTTGAATAATGGATTACGTCATTAAGCAAGTCCGCTTAAAATATCTTGAATTTGTATATGATTAAAATTTGAGAAAATTTGATAAGTATAGACAACAAAACGTAAAGCCTTAAAATTTGCATTTTGTCAACTTTATTAAGTATTTTATTATTATATAATAATAATAAAATTACGGGGTGGTCGGATATATTTTTAAACCCTTTTCACGAACTAATTATGCCAACACCATATTGTAGGTATATGTAACCTGTTACGTTGAGCATATTTTATTAATGAAATAATACACATTACAATGAAGAAATTTGACCTTTATTACATGTAAAGATTCCGATTGAAAATTCGCTTTTTTAAACTATTTGCTAAATGTTTCCATTAATACCATACCAAACCTTTCGAAGCTTTTTGTAATTTAGATATTTTGATATCAAGTACAGGTCTACTTGGTAAAGTAAAAAAGGTTTTATTTAAGAAAACGTTACTTTTTTAGTTCATTTGACGTTACACAAATCTGGTGGCCGGATATTTATGGTAGGTGAGTGTATAAAAAAATAAGTTCAAAATAATCAAGATAACAATTGATAATAATGTCAGATATTCCTATTAAAACAGAAGAAAAAAATAATGATAATACAATAATTCAAGAAAGCGAAGAAAATGCTAATAAAGATAGTAAAATTGTAGAAGAGGAAAGTATAAAACAAGATGATAATGATAAAAAATCGGCAACCACCGCCACCATTACTACTAGTGGTGATACCGGTACTGCTAAAAAAAATGCAACAGTTGAAAGTGGGGAGGACTCAGATTTAGATGACGATGATATTCCCGAGCTAGCAGAAGAACAAGGAGTACTACCACCTGACATTTCATCATTGAATATTGAAAATATTCTTGGCGGTGGTGGTGGTGGTTCTGCAAAAATTCAAACTCGTGGAGAGAAAAAAGCTCGAAAAGCAATGCAAAAGTTGGGATTGGTACCTGTTTCTGGTATCACTAGAGTTACAATCAAAAGAGGAAAAAATGTAAAATTGAAATTATCAATTAATTAACATATTAAAGAATTATTAATTAATTATTTATTTATTGAATATTATTAATTAACAATTCTTTAAATATTCTTTTTTATATTATTTAGATGCTTTTTGTTGTTTCTAATGCTGACGTTTACAAATCATCGAATTCTGATTGTTACATTGTATTTGGTGAGGCCAAGGTCGAAGACCTCAATTCTCAAGCTCAAGCAAATGCTGCGCAACAATTTCAAAATTCTGCTGAAACTACAACTGCTGCTGCTACATCTAAAGAAATTGCTAAAGTCGAAGAATCAATCGAAGAAGATTCAACGGCTATTGATGAAACTAATGTAGAAGCTAAAGATATTGAATTGGTTATGCAACAGACTGTAAGTATAGAATTAAGGAGTAGTAAAGGAAGAAGAGGTTTAGGGATGAATTATGAGGTTGGAAAAGTAAAACTTTATTTATTTATACATTTATTTATTTTTTTTAGAACTGTTCTCGTGCTAGAGCTGTTAAAGCTCTAAAGAATAACAAAAATGATATTATTAATGCTATTATGGTAATGTGATAATATGTTATATTATAATATGGTAGATATATATTGCAATGTGAATTATTAATTTATTAATTTATTAATTTTTTTTTTTTATAGGCATTACAATAATATATTATATTTCCTTCTATATATATATATATATTGTTAATTAAATAATTTATAATTTTATTTGCTATAATTTATTTATTTATAAATGTCATTATATATTGAGGTGATAGCATCACAACTTCCAATTATTGCAATTGTTATTGAAAACATTAAAGTAAAGATTATCCAAACTTTTTCACAATTTTTATTTTCCAATTTACTCCATCCAAAAAACCTCAACCATAACAATAATGGCATAACAACCAATAATGTGCCATTAGCCAATGCACCTAATAATGACATAACATCAGCAAAATAAGGTATGAATATTGCAATATAAACTTCCATGGCAGCAGTTACAACACGTAACAATGACCAATAAATGAATTCTCATAGTTGACCCAATTTATTCTTGTTGATATTAAAATAATTTTCTAATTCCAATGAGGATGCTGTCTGATAAATTGGCAATGCAAATATCACATGTAGTGTTATTGATATTATTATAATGTTTATTTAATATTCCATCAGGTAAATTTAAATAAATTGGTGATTTGACATTATTTCCATAAGTTAAATAACCAAAAAATCCAATTATTAGATATAACATTGTAATTGTAAACATTGAATATGAGAGTACTTTTGGCCAGTTTTGTGGTTTTTTCATGCTAAATAAATTAGAGGAGCAGAAAATTGTTAATTAATTAATCAATTAATCACAAATGAATTGATTGAATATTTAATTACCTTGCTTCAACATAAGGATAAACTATATTTCCACCATAACTAAAACTGACAGTTGCAAGTGAAATTGGTAAATATCTTATGATGACTATATCATGTAAATTCTCTCTGTTATCAGGATAATCAATAATTGAAATTATTGCCACAATAAACACAACCAAAATAACTGTCAACACTCCAAAAAGACTGAAATTTTTTTGATTAGAAAAAAATTAGAAGAATTTTAAATTTTAAAAATTTATTAACAAAGTTCTTTAAAAACATACGTACCTCAATAATGCAACATCTTTCATGGTTTTTAATAGTATGTATGGAATACACATTATACCTGCCACTAAATAAATCCAATTTCTCATTCCAAAATCAAATTTAGAAAATATCAATTGCAAATTATCACCAATCAATATCAAATAAAGTATTGGTGTGCCAACACTTATACAACTAGAGAAAAATCCAACCATCACTAATCCGATTCTACCAAATGCATCATATGCTAATTCAGACATTGAATTCTTACGATTGCTTCTATTATATCAAATGCAGATGTTAAAAAAATCAAAATACATGAAATTAACTGGATATTATTACATAACAAAATAGTTACCCATTGTAATATAAACATTCAATGAATTTTATATTTGCATAAGTTGTCATTACAGCTGCTAAAATCAAAAACAAGATGGTAATCCATCCACCTTGTTGTATAGCATAGGGAATGCCCAAAGTTCCTGCTCCTGCTACAATACACCTGAGATTATTTGGAAATTGAAAATTGAAGTTAATAATGCTTATTCACTATTAATAGTAATGATAATAATTATAAAACTCACACACAACCAATAAATGCATTCCAATCAGATTCTTTCCCTCCTTTTCCCACTTCATTATTACTATCAATTTCATCAACAATCGAATAATCTTTTTCAAATAAAATAATTTAGAAAGAATTAAAAATTAAATTAAATTAATATATCTAATATCTATCATATTATAATATAAATTTATGTTAACTGTTTGGTATTGCTTCATAATTATAATTGTTATTATTATTTCCACTCAAAATGCTGCTTCTATTATTACTCATCGTTAATTTTTTTCTAAATAGAAAAATAAATAATTTTTTTTTTATTCTATCATTTGATCTATTTATATCCCTATTTACAGAAAAAAAAGATTGATAATAATAACACACGATTACTTGGTATATATTTTTTTTATATGGATAATCATCAATTTTAAAGACAAAGAAAATTTTTGCGGACACAATCAATCAATAACAACAATGGCTTATAATGCTCATGGTACAAGCGGTGAAAGCCGTTTAAATCATAACACTAAATCTAATAAATGTAGATAAATAACACAAACTATAAAATTTAATTAAAAAGATTCATTAAATTTTTCAAGTCTATTGATTTCTCTAGTAACTAACATATTGATATTAAAGCCCATATCCGATAGAGGTTTTAACTTTTCTAAATAAACCAATCACTTTCATCAAAAGTTTTTTAGCAACTTTCTTGATTATGAAAAAGTATTTGAATTTATAATTTCAGCCAACAATTTTACTTGTTCATTCAAACCCTGAAAACACAAAAGAATGTCCTGCAAAAATATACCATGAAACTTAAAAATGTAATGTCCTGTGTGCCTCCAATGCAATCAAGTGTGTCGACGTAAATATTAAAAGTGGCATGGATGGTCTGTCTATATTGCATCCAAGTATATCACACATTTATGGTTTTTGATTCCAAGATGAGACTTTGTGTGTCTTTAGTAAATCAACGATTTTTGTCTCCACATTCTATATGTGCCGCCAGACTCAAGGTTTACCATTATAAATGACTCTATAATAATAGTATCCCCTAGATTTTCAAACGAACAAAACAATTTCACGATAATTATATAAAAACGGCAGCTTGGTACCCTTTTGATTTATCAAATCATTTGTAAAACTATATAAATGCAAAATCTTCGAGCTCCGAACAATCTTGTACTTGCAAAAGTACCAATTAAGAAAAGATCATTTGTTTTTTTTAAATCCATTTTTATTTTTTTTCGACAAAGATGTTGAAGAGTCAACTTGCAAATTATCAAAAAAAAATTTTTTTCGTTACAATATACAGTCAATTCTCTTTGTAACGTCATTAAATGCTTCCTTCACATATAAAATTCATTATAACGCGCGCGACCGGTAATTTAATTTTCATGTGTAATAAATACCGTTATAGCAAGGTCCATTATAACGAGGCTTGACTGCACTATAATCTAGGCATTCGTTAGGCTCAAAACAAGCTTCAATACCAATTCTCACTTTACACGTCACCATCAACCAAACAAGATTGATTGCTGCTGGTAACCATCAGCTATTCATCAATTGTGAAATAGAGTCCTAAAAATGTAACAGAAGTAAATCCTCGCGTAAATAAATGATATTTACAAACATTAGCAATATCATTCTATGTTAATTTTTTCAGCCCTTCCTTTAAACTATACAAAAGATCAAATTGATATTGAATCCCAACGATCTACCGAAACACATTAATAATAATGAGAAAGAGAAAGAAATGGCAAATTATATAAGAAACGAAAAAGATTTTTGATTTATTGTGTACTTCTTTGATGTTCGAACCAAAAGTTGGTGCTTCCTCTTCTTCTTCATTTGTTTCTTCTTGATCTTTAGTAACTTCTATTGACTCGATCCGATTTTTTGTCACCGAGACTTTATTAGAATGTGTTTATTAATTATGCAAAAAGTAAACAATTCACGTATTGTCAATAATTCAAGTTTACTTCTTTATGATAGATTAGATTCATAATAAAAATTTTATCTCTAACTCTAAACTATCAGTTACTTTATAATTTATGTTGGATAATCTATATAGTGAATGTTAGATGATAAATTGGGTAATGCCAAGACACAAAGTCCAATATGAGCTTTCCCAACATTCTATAAGTATATAATTTATGAACAAAAACGTTTAATTTAGTGTAGGATATCTTTTCCTCCAAGTTTGTCACTTAGATATTGATATAAAGGCATTTGTGTTGTAGGTGTATTTTATTTATTACATACATTTTTGTCATTATAATGATAGTAAAGTTTTCAAGCTAGCATTTTGTTGAATTTTATATATAGAAATATTGTCAATGAATTTGGCTTTTTTCTTCAAAAAAGATTGCAGCAACAATTTTATTAAAGTAATTGATAATACAAGGAACAAGAAATTATGAAGTAAAAAATATATTCTTTTAATGGTATGTAGTGATAGTCATGATAACTATTTCCTGCCAGAATTAAACTGGCTTTTAAATCGGGGTTTGAAATCACTTTTAAACAAGCATTGGATTTCTAAAGAAACTCGGATAAAAATAATAATAAAAAAGGAATAAATATTAATTCATTTTTAGTATTTTTTATTAGTTTTGTTTTAATATAAAAATACAATTCACAGTAATTCTCCATCTATATTTACTTTTTATGCCTTTGTTAACTATGGTAATAGAGATATATTAATAAAGGAGATGAAACTTAATCAAATGCAAATTCAATAACTATTGTTTTATTGAGAGTACTAATACTAATAAACTTACCAGAAGAATGGCAAATTATTGCAGAGAGTCCTTTCATCAATGGCAAAGTTTATGTTATATTTTATTCATAAAGGAAAGATATGTTTTTTATAACAGGAAATTAGTTCATAAAGAATTAAGAACAAAGAAATTTATATAAATATGTGTCATTTTAGATATGGAACAATTCATTCATACCTATAAAATAAATATTTGATATTCTGCCATAATTTATATCATCAAATACTTGTCTTCCCATATTCTCTATTTGATTATCTATAACCTTATTCTAACATCTTAATCGTCACAATCAACTTGAACAAGAATAAAATGGAGAAAGCCTTAGTTCAGTTTAAAAGAAATCGAATTGACAGAAGAGGAATCGGGGAGTGAATGGCATTAGTAGAATGATATCAAATCAGAAATCGTAATTGGCTACTCAATATACAATAGATAGATTGTTGTAACATGCTGATTGTGTCAATTTATGGCATCATTCGGTAATTAATCAGGTTATTTTGGCAGCAATTTCAAAGCCTAATCGAATACCTTTTGGTTTACTAATTGATATTAATTGATTAAAACATTCACATTGATTCTTTATTTTATTTCAATCGATATGCTATAATGAATATCTGGTTGAACTTTATTTAATTAATCGGACATCATTCAGATGGTTATTTAAAATCAGCTAGCATTCTGTTTAGTATTAACTGTGAGTTATATGTGTATCTAATTGCTTTTTATTTCATTTTAAATTTATAATGAATGCAAATTGATTTATTTTCAAATAATAATAACCAAATTTTGGAATTGATTCTTTTATAACAGAATCCTTTTGTTCTTTGAATGTTCTTTTAATTCCTCTTTGGATTGGTAACTTCTTTAGAAATCAAATAGCATTCAATCATTAGGCGATTGAAACCTATATATCAGAAGATCTAGAAGATAATAAGCATATTTGTTAAAAATGTGTCATGATTTTTTTTTGTTGGCTTTACCTGAGCTAACAAAAGTTTTGTGAGGCAGCACAGGAGGAATGGGAGTAGGTGGCTATATTATTTGTAATACCTTTCTTAATGTCAATCAACAAATAAATTATACCTTTCCCGGTCTTTGCTTCTTTCTCTTGAACCATTCGTGGATTTTTTTTGTCTTGTTTTTTTTTATTTTATTCTAAAATAATCAATAGAAACCAATTATTACCAACAAGTAAAGTTGTTTAAATAGTAGCCAATATGATTATAATAATTATTAATTAAAAGGCCCAAGATTGATCCCAGGTAAATAAATATCTTGATTAGTGAAGAGAAACAGGTAATCCAATACTTGAACATATTTGTAGTGTCACCTTCGAATATGGTGAATGTATGCCAGATTATGTTCTAGGACAAAAAATGTGTAGCTTTATTTCTAAGATGAGATACCAAACATATTTTCTCGATTTTGTTTTTTTTAAAAATAAAAATAAAAATAAACTTGAACTTTGCTGTTAAAGATAAAGTAAAACCTGCACACCATTAAAATTTTTTAACAAATATATTTATGTGATTGTGCGGAATTCTCTGTATAAAGAAAGCTACGACTATTGTTACTTTTTTCTTCAAAGCTGAAGATAGGTAGGTGGTCGAGTAAGTGTAAAATACCTTAATCTTTCATATGGTTGATAAGTTTTAAAGAGACTCATAAAACTTGTTTAATAGCATTATATTAAGAAATGCAAGTGTGTAATGAATTTTCCAAAACGAAGAATTAAATACAATGACTTTTTTATTATAAAAAGTAGGTACTATATATATAAAAAATAGAAAAATATTTATAATAATGAAATATTTAATTCTAATTGTTATCTTATAATTAAAGGCATCCATCAATTGAAAGGTTTTATATACATTTATTTATAGAGAAGGTGATAAGAGATTAAACAATACGATTTACAGTGAACCCTCCCTAAATGCACGCACTATGTATACCCTCCATAACTGCACGGCCCATCTCATCCTCAAGCTTATAGAGAGCTTATAAAATCACCCTCCATAAATGCACACCCTCCATAAATGCACGCTCACAAGAAATAGCA